GATATTGCAAACCAAACCTACCTGTCCGGTCACTACACGGTCTAAAAAACCAGTATTTACTGGCTTTTAGGTTAGTTTCCAAATTCAGAATCCGAAAGCATAGTACAAGTTCGTTAACAACACGCCTATACTTCAGACTATGGAGGTGTAACATATCGAGACGGGACGATAGGAGGGTAAGGCATGAGGATATCCTGGATTGGGAAAGCATCGATAAAAAAGAATCCTCGTGAAAGTCTTTTGAATTTTTTCATTTATCAATATTTCTTTTCAAAAATGGACTCCAAATGGGCGATGCATACTCAAGATGAGGTAACACGTAACTTTTGTACAATCGCAAGAAAATTTCCGGATCATTACTATGTATATTTCTAAAAATTGTAAAAAGCGTTGAAGACGACCTTTTTATGACAGTATTTACATGAGTATCAAAAGTAAGAGAATTCTCTATCATAACACCAAGATCGCGAACTGAATTAGAGATTTCCAGATTGATACCATTGTAGTTGTACGTACAACAGTGGGAATTCCCAAGGTGCATTACCATAGTCTTGGAGGCATTTACAGGAATACCCCATTCTCTAGACCATATCTCCATCCTTTTTATGGATGAAGAGACCGCCGTGAATGCTTCACTCTGTTGATTGAGGTCGTAGCAAAAATATATTTTAATGTCGTCTGCAAACATCTGAATTTTCAGATTCGGATGGGTTTTCAGATAGTTAGGCAATTCCGCGACGTAAATAAGGAAAAGCAACGGTGAGAGAATGCCACCCTGGGGTACTCCACTACTACAATGATAACGATCTGAAAAGTCTTCTCCAACACGAACAGTCATTCCCCTATCATGTAAGTAAGATGCTAACCAAGACAGGAGAGTCCCTCTTATGCCGTAGTTTTCTAGCTTGTGTAGGAGTTTGCTATGATTTACCTTATCAAAAGCTTTTGAGAAGTCAAAGTATATGATATCTACCGATTGTCCGTTATTTAAAGCAGTTATCCAATCAAAAGTAGAATCAACCAGTAGGGTTGTGGTGGAACAGCCCGGTAAAAACCCGTGTTGTTCAGGAGGAAGGATATTATTTTTATCAAACCAGTCATAAAGCTTAGCTCGTATTATTTTTTCGAGGATTTTCCCCGCAGGAGGCATTATGCTTATGGGCCGATTGTTTGATAAGGTGTTCTGTTGCCCTTTTTTCGGGATAGCAGTAACAAGAGCTTCTTTCCATATTTTTGGCACCTTAGCAAATTGTAGAGACATTGAGAATATCAACGAAAGGGGAAAGGACAGTGTTCGTGCACAGTTTCTATAAACAATCTGAGGAATTCCATCATATGTGGATGTTGCAACAGCTTTCAGTCTCCTTAAAACTTCATATACTGTATCAGGATTGACTTGTATCTCATCACATGCTGTAGCAACAAAGGTGACCTTTGGAGACAGATTCGATAGATCCTGGTTTTCAAAATTGTCATTGTCAAACACCTTAGCAAAATATCTTCCCAGAGCATTTGCCTTCTCTTTGTCGTTCCTGAAAGACATCCCATATTCATCCACCAAAGTCGGTAGTTTGGTATTACCTTTGGTTCTGTATCTGAGATATCGAAACAATTCTTTGTTGCCCCGGCTTGCCAGACGAAGCTCATTACTTTTCAAAAACTTTTTGAGATAATATTCCAAATCTTTACAAACCTTCTGGTACAGATGATTTGTAATAGGATCAGGGAGGATAGAGAAAAGACGTACTTTTGCTCAATCAAGTTTTGAATGTGTTGAGGGTAAGCATGTAATACAGTTTTTTTGAAAGTAAAAGGAACAAATTTAGCAAGTACACTGTAAATGATTAAACAGAAACGATAATATAGATCATCGACTGATTCAAACCCAGCAAAAATATCCATCCAACTAAGACGCTGAAGTGCCTTGTTTATCTCTGTATAATCGGCTTTGTAGAAATTGGGAAATGGCAGGAAGTAGTTTTTCACAGATGAGAAGTTTGTATCAAAAGCTATTACATTGTGATCGGATGTACCGAACGGAGGAAGGAGCTGTAAATTCATGACAGTATTAGGAGTAGAAAACACTAGATCAATGGCACTTCTACCTCTAGTTGGAATGGATACATTCTGAATAAGGTCACTGCCAAGGAGAGCACCAAGGAAACGCTCATCTTGTGTAGTCTTTAGAGGAGAAATCACGTCTATATTGAAATCACCAAGAATGACTGACTCAGATGGATGTGCACAAAAGTCCAGTAGAACATTAGCCAATGTTTCGTCATCTTCAACAGTAGAGGAAGGTGGTCGATAGATAAGTATAAATCTCAGTGAAGAATGGGAAGAAAGCGAAAAAATATCTAAACACAGAAAATCAGAATTCATTTGTTGCGTACAATCTATCCGTTGCACAAGCAAATCATTTTTTTTTATTAGACAACAAACACCACCTCCTCTTTTGCCCTTGCGATCTGACCGATATATTGAATATGGAGAATCAATAACAATTTCAGAGTCTAGTACTTTAGGGCTTAGCCATGATTCCGTTATGAAAAGAGCGTCTGGACAATGATGGTGTAAGAAAGCATGAAGGAAGTGTAATTTATTTACTAAGCTTCTTGAGTTGAACACGTAACAAGCCAAATGATCACTGGTACCTGGCATACCTAGGCGTTTTTTTGAGTGGGATGTTGAGGAAGTTGAGATACATGCTTGATTTCTCCTCTATATACTACCCATTCTTTAACTGTTTTCCCTCGGTTTTTCTCCCGCACCCGCTGACGTAACTTCAGAATCAAGCTGGCGTTCCGCAGGGGTCATGCTTTTACGCAGATACACATGGGATAACGGAGAGTGACGTAAACGATAAGAATTTGATAATGCTTGTGACCACACATGACGCGAAGGAAACACGAGTTTGACAAGGCGAGACTTGCCTTCAATTATTTTGCCCATACGGTAAATCTCACTATATTGTATTATATCCATTTGCTGTAAACAATTTTTTTATTCAAGGCACATTTTTGGATTTCAGCCCTTCCACGGAGAGCTACTGGAGCTGAATTTGCAAAGAATGAGATTGGTAGAGCAGTAATAGCACACTTCCTCTTGGTTTGTTCATTTATATATAAATCCGTTCTAAATTATCTCTCGTGATCAAGCGGTGGTGGGGGGAGGGCATCAAGCCCGTTCGATAAGGGTCCTCGTAACCGATCAGACTCGGGCTCATCGGGCTTCACTAGGCGAAGGTGCGCACTACTCACGCCCACTCAGACGATATTGGGTAAGTCACAAGACGTACTGACTTACCCGATTTCGTCTAAGAATTGTGTGAGAAGTTAAAATAGCGCGTGTATCTAGTTGCTCGTAAACTTAGTAAATCACATATTCTATTCAGATTGGCAATCGTTTTACGGACAAACCTGGCAGCTTGCTGCAGGATATTTTTAATTTAAGATTTGATTTCATTTGATCTTGAGATTTGTAAGGGATTCAGAACCAGTCAGCAACGCGTGCTAAATTCCCCGATCATGTCTAGCTACTAAATTAATTGAAAAAACAGCGCGCATACCTAGGTGCTCTTTAACTTGATAGATTCACAATTCCTCATTAACAAATGGGCTTGACATTTTGCTGCAGGAGATTTTTCGATTTAAAATTTGATTTGATTTGATATTAAGATGATTTTTGAAAAATTTAGAACTCGATCTGAAGAAATCAGGCTCTGCCGCCCATTTGGATTGAGCTAATAGGACTCATAGCTCGCTCAGAAAGGCTTCGCACTCAAGGAGAGTGTAAATTTCGAGTCAAAGATTTCTGCTGATTGCAAATGTGTATGTTTTCCAAAAATCCAGATAAGATAAATGCGTTCTCTCAGTTTGAGATTGATATATGGCGTCCCAGAAACTGTTTGAAATTACTCCTGAGAGATTTTGCACGAAGCGATTGGCGATTATTACATACTAGCTGGCATACCCGGCCCCGCCCGACCCTCTCATAGCACTATGAAAAGGTCACTATCCCTATTCCCGTACAAACCTTTCCCTGTGCCCACTTCACTTGCCGATTATATCGCCCGTATTGTTTTCGCAGTCAGCATGCCTCCCCACTTACCCCCTGTGATTCCCGGCCCCGGAGATCAGCTCAGCAGAAAAGTCGATAAAATCGATGAAAGATGCAGACAATTCTGAAAACTTAATATTGTATTCGTAATCAGCATGCTCGATTATCCTTTGTGCCGACTCCCAGCCCCGTATATCAACTTTGCAAAAAAATCAATAATAACCGATAAAATCGATATCGATCGATGACGAAAAGCAGCCTATAAACAGCTGTGCTCGAAGTGTATGTGTGCCAAGTTTGGTCCGGATCGGTTCAGAAATGAAAATTTCTATCCGGAACCTACGTACAGACAGACATAGTTGCGGTCCCCGGTCCGAGGGTCCAAAATGGCCCAGCATAGTGTGTGCTCCAAGATGTATGCTTACCATTCCTCCACTTCCTTCAGCTCATATTTTCTGTTCCTCTCCTGCTCCAGCTCCGAGTCAGTTCCACCACCCGTGTAGTATCCGTAGTGAATTTTTCTTCCTTCTTGACCGGCTCGCTTCTTGACACCGCATGCTCCTCACCACAAAATGTAAATGATCTCTACCACCCCTTACTACAATACCTGACTTGAAGAAATGAATGATATAGCTTTCATTTTCCTAGATTTTAGTAAACAAAATCAATAAATTGATAAAAGAACTCAACGAATTGCCGCGAAAAGTAGCCTATGACCTGCGTCGTGGCTTATTTATATGGGAGCAAAATTCAGCGCAAACGGTCCCTTCATTAAGATTTCTATAAAACACAAACATCTTTAGCAACTTACACACAAACTTTGAGTTTTATATATGTATAGATACAGCATCCAACTTGATAGAGAATTTTTTCGAAGCTCAGCATTGAAAGTAAAAACCCTTTGCTTTTATTATCAAAATGACATACAGATTGCTCTTAAGTCACCTGTGTCGAGCTCTGGAAGTAACAACTCGCACCTGCTTTAAATGCATCAATACTTCCGTTGAGACTAGCCTCAAGGGGTTCCCACATTCGGATCCCAGCGTCGAGCGGAACACTACTACGTGCTCTTCACATGTGATAGGCTCATCTGTTCTCGGCTCTTCCTAAAGAAAACAAAGTTATTTGTGATCAGATGATTGTGAAGACTATAGCTCTCCATGAATCTGCATAAAAAAATTCACAATAGAAAAGCGCGACAAACGTACGCAAGAACCGTTCACCTATTGTCTCTTTCTGATTTCAACAAAGAATCTAAAAATTAAGCAGTTAATTTTCATTTTCATTTTCACAATTCAATTCGTTTACATACATCAGAAAATGTGCATAACTTACATTCAATTTATTCACTGTCATATACTGCTCAAATTTGAGACCACGATACCAGTGCGGCAGCAGATCTCTTGATTCGGTATGCCAGCTTGTATAACGTTCTTGTTCACAAAGAAAAACCACGTTGTTGAAACGAATTGCAGAAAATTCCCAAGCATTACTCCAGACATACGCAGCGCGCGCTATTCGTTGTAATAACCCACGACAGCATACAATGTCAGCATCGTGCAGCACCTAGGCAAAAAAGCTTTTTTGCCCTTTCAGTCGGGTTACGCAGTACCTCTTTCACAGAGCTACCCTTAGGTGCTTGCATGATAATCCATTTCCAGAAATTATCAAGTCTTTCATCGGCCTTCTGGAATGGAATTAATCTTTAGCGTTAGCCTTGGTATCTTAAAAAGTACACTATTTTCTTCCAGCTGTCTCCTTTCATATTTGTCTTTCTCCTTCTCTATATAAGCGTCAAATCCTTGATAGAGATCATATGACACGTCATATATTCCACGATCCAAGGCTTCTTCATTATAGAGATATTTCGCTTGGGCTGGCACCAAATCTCGATCGCTAGTCACCTAGGCAGCAATCCTTGAAAATAAGAAGCCATACAGCATCAAAGATGTGTCAATCGTACCGTATACTCGCCAATCGTTTGCTGTATTTTGTATTTGGCATAATCTACAGGCCTTCCCCTGATATCTTGTGCTATATCGACCAATTTGGTTGAAATCGGAGGAGCCAAAAGAATATCCACACTTTCGTCGGATGTTACTGAAATGCAGAAATGTAATGTGTTCAGTTCTGAGAAATTGGTTCGATTCCTAGTATGGCAAACAACAAACTTCAGGCTCTTTTTAAACGCCATCAAGCTATTGAATTGTGGATGGCAAATAACACTAAAATCAAAATTATGGAAGTGTTGATTGAAAAGCCAAGGTCTGTCAATTCACCTTGCACTGTAGGAGAAGAACTGTTGTTTGGTACCACCATTAGTCTCAGGAAAGTCAAAGGAACAGCGAGAAAAGTGTTGCGGGAGTGGATGGCGTCGTCTTTTAAGCTACACTATCCACTCCCACAAGGCTTTATAGCGTCGAGAACGGATAACAGGGCCCGGCACGAGTCGGTTTCTAGGGTTTCTGAAAACGAAGTCTCCCCTGACTTTCGGAAGTTTTACGAAGTCCCCTTTGACCTACCTGCTTAGGAGAAGATGAACAAGAAAGATTTACTAGTCTGAAATAAAAGACTTAAGATTAGAGTTAAAATCCAAATTGGAGCTGAATACTACGCATGTACAAGACTTTGGCATTAGAGCGCGATATTTAACAAAGCGGGAATAAATGAAGGCAAAAAACAAAGGAAAGGTAATGATATGAAGATGTCTTCATGCTCTGGGATAGATTTTTGCCCGGGGAATCCGTCCATGCTAAAAAGATCCGAAACTTATGTGAAGTGACGGAAATATATGCTCCAGACGATCTCAGATCGTCTGGTGGCCGTCTGGAGACGATCTAATTTTGGAAAAGGTATTTCTTCACATAAGTTTTCAAATCTTTTTACATAATACTTTCGCAAATAATTTTTTATGCATACAGTTCAATTTTGGTGTCATATGCTTCTGTGTGCGCTGTAAACGAGCAATTTGTTTATTTTAGCCTTGCTTTCAAATCGCGCGCAACTTTCGCCATACACGATAGAGCATGTCAATCGTGTGATAACCTGTCCGAAAAGCTCGTGTTCGACTAAATGGCGCTTATTCTTGGTGCTCTCGGTTCCGACTCGCCAAAAACGATATCTCCTTTGCTGTTTGCTTCAAAAACGAAGTCCAGCCTGCTACCAGACGATCTGTGCCGGGCCCTGACGGATAACGAAAATGCTGATGCAGAAATGTTGTCGGCATTATGACGCATTGCTTACAAGATATCGCCGTTGGTCTTCTCCGCCTATTTACTGTTCATTACCTATCAGCTCAAGCTACGGTATTGCTAAAGACCTTTGAATTTTGTCAATGCCATTTCGAAATGCGATCTTGCCATATGCGCTACGCCAAACTTTCCCAAAATAAAGCTGACACGAATCTTGAGAACGGGAGGATATGATCACAGGAGTATAACAGTCCTATGGTACATGGCATAATCTCTCTGCTTGGATCGAGCTTCAAATGAGAAAGAATGTGGAATGAAGGAAAGATTCGTAGTGCACAAAGTTATGAATTATGGAACGGCATTTTGTAAAGATGTGGTAGAGGCAGCGTTGAGTATGCTCAAATTAGAGTTTTTCGTAATAAAATTATTCATCACACTTTATTATTATAAAATTAATCATCAAACTTTCTCTCTTTTGTGATGTCCGTCGCAGTCGCGCGGACTTTTAATTCGCCTAGGCAACCAATCGCGACTCGGCTGCACGAAGAATCTCTACTTCGGCCTTCCCAGCAATCTCCTAGGGCGGAGAACGACATAAAAAGCACTATTTTGACTTTTCAAGCGCAACTTTGGTCTAGACGTATCCAGAAGACCAAGGCGGAACAGAAAGTGCGCAGTTGGAATTTCACCGAGCCACTGCCTTAACTAGCTTCAAGTTTTTGACAGAATCCTTAACAACACCATCGAGTTTTAGAGGATCTATGTTAGGGGGCTCATCAAACACCCAAGAATTCTCGGGAGACGGTCAAGAGGCGCGATTTTTCTGGCTTTCACCAAATTAATTCCAGTTTCGTGCTATGGGTGTGTCAAAAAGTGCCAGATAAAGTCCATAGGCTCACTAGCCGTTTGATGCAACCACTTGATAAGTTTGATGACATTTGCTAGAAAAATGACCGAAATAATTACAAAATTGCTATAAACTGCATTTTCATGAGTTTTTGAGCATCAACAATTTTATTTTGAATCGATTCCAGATGATAACATCGAACAATTCCTGCGACTCTCTGATACACTTCTTTTGAAATTTCAAATAATTCTGAAACTTCATAAAACATTAAATTTGTGCTATATGCTGCCCATCCGGCAATAAGAATCGCGCCTCTTGACATACACCCAGAATTCTCGATTTTTAGTACCTTTGAAAGTGGATTAAATAAAGGATAAAGGATTCGGAGTCTTCAAAACCCTCTGAGGGCATGCGCCGAACGCACACACCAACTTCATAGTCGAAGAGGCAACTGTATGCGTGCGAGCCTATTACAGTGACTTGAGAGGGCCAGCCGTTTCCAAGTCAGTGCTTTCATCCTCCCAAATTACTCTGGTACCAATTTACCGGCCCCGGAGGGTAGAGGGCTTGGTTGGCCCAGGGGCCGAGATCGAACCTGTGTCCGATCTGGTCATAGCGGCGCCTCATACCACTACGCCACTCGTACCCCAAAAGTGGATTATGATTCAGCATTCAATTTGAAAACAAAAAAGCGCTCAGCTATTCGCATATCAAATCTTGATTTTCCGAGTACAGCGGGAGCGTATTCAATAACATGATTTTTATTGATTTCACCTTTGAGACTCAATAAATCCAAAACAAAACATTCCTTTGAAAGAGGAGAAAATGTTGCATTGTCTAGCACCCGTCTTGCTCGCCGATTAATCGCTATGTTCTTTTAAGATTTAAGTTGACCTAAATGGAATTTGATAGCATAAAACTTCAGGAATTTTGTAAAGTAAGCTATGGAAGGGAAAAAAATGTTTTAAATCCTATAGGGTTTGCTTTATTTACTAATCATTTGGACTTTTTCGGGGAATCAGTACGAAAGTAGAGAAAAATAGCGAAAGTTGACCATTGCAAAAAACATGGTTCGCAGTTTATGGTAATCTTCTAAGAGCATTCATTGAACCATTGAACTGCAATATACAAATATAATCATTCAAAAGAGCTTGGAACTTGCATCAAAGCAAGAGCATGGAAATTGCCTCGAATGCTACTAGTCTTTTATAAAACTTAATTATGCGGATGTGGCGCTTGTTCGAAAAAAGAGAAAATTTGGGAAAGAACGTAATATTTTTGTTCCAACTCAGTAATTTTCATCGCCTCTAGAAATGCTGCTGTAAGATTCACTGCTTCTTAGACTTTTATAATATTCATGCACAACAAGCTGCGCTTGAACGTAGCCTTGATGTTTCTTGGTGTAGTTTTCCGTAAACATTATTAGATTGCTATCACACAATTTGTATGAAAATTTCGCAGATCTTTTTATTAGATTTGCTCCGAGGTAAAATCTCTTTTGGTCAGCAGTTTGCCTATTAGTTGCTTTGAAATGCTAATTTAGTTGGAATTTTTGAAATTTTGATGCTTCCAAAAAAAGATGCATTTGTGAATATCGCAAATTTCCAAAGGATCCGCTACAGTCATGGGATCACTAAACACATTCCGATAACTCATACCCTATTTGTCGGACCAAATGGCTTCTTGCTATTTTTGACTTTTCGTACATAATTGCCTCCATAATTCTAGTTGTGAGTTGTTTAATTCAAATTTTTCATTCAATGGACGTGTCGCAAATTGCGTTAAAGCGGCAGACAATTCAAAATTTTGCCATTAAACTTAGCCTGAAGTAAAAAAACGTGCTACCTCGGATACCACCAACACCTAGCAAAACCAATAGCGCTAATACAGTCAGCAGCATATTGAGACAAGCTAATATGTGGAATCAAAACAAGGTACAGCTAAAGACAAGGCCAGGGCCCGACATGACTTCGTTTCCAGACTTCTTGAAAACGAGATCCGCCTTGATTTCCGCGAAATTTAACGGAGTCTCATTTGACTCTCAACCCTAAACGTTAAAAAAACCTTCAAAAAACGAAAGTCGACTGAAGAAAACGTCGCAGTTTTTGGTCACAAAAGTGATATGCCCTTTACTTTTTCGCCCCACGAAGTCCATTCTGCTTCCATACGCTCTGCGCCGGGCCCGGTCCAAATATCGATTGCAATATTATGGCTTTTGAAGAAGCCAATGGAGATGGTAAAAAGCTAAAGATATTATCAACACTGCACCCATAAGAAAGTCTAAAATACCTAGAATGTAAGTCTGGGACATAAATCAAATTTGGTTAAAAAATGTAAGACTTCTGTTAAATCCACAATTCAGAGCGGCGTATGACAGGCTGATTTGCTATGTGCATCAGAAGGTATATCAGAGATTGCGGATGAATGGAGTCATGGACTGAGATTCTGCCATGTCCGTGGATTGATAGTTCGATCTGCACATTTCACCACTTCCCCTACACTCCGAGATTGATGAGTTGGTTCTAAAACGAATTTGAAAGTTGAGCCGGCTAATGCCTGCATTCAGTGTAAGTGTTCGCATACATTCACCACTTTCTGATTTTGAAGCGTTGGATTGCTTCAGAAGTTTTACCCCTCAAAGTTCAGCTTCGATTCACATTAGCTCTTCTAAAAAATGAACATTGCGAGCCAAAAAATTCTGTTACCCTCTTCAAATCTTTGACAGTCCTGTCCACACTCAAAAAATTGCAGTAAAGGAAAAGGATTTTCTAGCCAGAAATCCCCAAACATCTCCTTTCAGCTTCTACTTTGAGCTAACTGATTTGGAATGTAGTAGATTTGCACTGGCGTTGCACGTGCATTCATAAGTCGTCTAAGCAGCACTGCCAACCTTGAGTTTCACCGCTTTCTCATGAAAAGAATTTTTGCAAAAAATTTCAAAGTATTCCTTTATTTCGTTCCCTCTGAGGAGGAGAAAGTACACTTTTTGATTCTAGTTTTTTCGGGCTGACCACAAAAATCTCATATTTTCTAGTGAGTTCTATATAAACCAAAAGTTCTGTAACTGCGTTGCGCTCCTGATTTTTAAGCGAGTCAGAGGACCAAAACCTCAAGGGACCCTCAATTCTTTGAGCGTCAGCCGATACTAAATTCTGGTAGCTACAAGGAATGCACATGAAGTGGGATGCAAAGAAATCTTCATATCGTTGCAAGAGAGCAATAAAAAAGCGCTTATCTTTCAAAACAAGAAAATTAAACAGATAATCCTTTTTCAAAAAAGT